CTCTCTCTCTCTCTCTCTCTCTCTCTCTCTCTCTCTCTCTTGTTAGCTCCTAGGGCGAGGAGCTTGGCTCCTCATTTAGTTGTAAAGTTAAATTCTGTTTACCAAATAATGTTGATCTTACCAGCTAACTGACATGAAAATATTTTTAAGATAGCATTAGGATTCATCAAGAGTTCAAAGAGCATCTAGCGAGACTCTTGGTTCCATAATTTTTTAAATTAAAGTGAAATGAAGTCCCATGTGCTCACTTGAATGAAAGCCTAAGTGTTTCAGTTCCAGACACAGGAAGGGTTTGGAGCAAAGCTGGAATTAGGTACCAGGTTTCCTTCTCCCACTTCCCACTGTACCAGGCCATGTCACCGTTCATGTCACAGCCACAGTGAATATCAGAGTGGGTGTCAGGTATTTGCGTAATTCCAATAGGCATTTCCAGCATCATTAAATGCTTCTCTATTTTTATTGTATGCCTATAATCAAGATCATTTGGTCTTACTCTGCTTGTGTTCAAATGTTATCTGCCTAAAGATATTTGAAGTCAGGTGGGGCATATCTCCAGAAAGTCAATTAAGTAAATTCAATTTTAATGAAATTGAAGACGGCATGGCTTGGGAGAGTGGGTATAGAGTTTACAATGCGATGCTGCAAGTGTGTCCTAAGCCTGTAGAGCCGGCTGCGCTGAGCAGTGAGGCCTGACTTGCCACTTCTGTAGGGGGGACTGCGCTGAGCGTTGGGATGGACTTGCCTCTTCTGTCAGTGACCGTTTTTCTTGATGCTTGCAACTAGAAAACAAGTAAAAAAAATAGATGTTCAGCACATCAACAAAAGAAAGATGTTTTCACCGGACCAACGACACAGGCCATCAATATTCAAAAGGAACCACGCAGTTCACAATTCCCCAATATGGATTTAATATACAACACATGTATTTCTTGAAGCCATTTGTTGGCTACTAAGAATCATTCTTTTAAAAATGCCTACCCACTAAAGAGAGAGGTGGCATCGCTGGTTTTTTAGAATCCCTTTCCCTACTTTTTTCAGCCAGTGACACTGGAAAGTGACTCCAACCCCAAGGAAATTGGCAGACGGAACTTGTGTGCGGCCAGGCGGGTGATGCTGTCCAAGCTAGAAACCCAAAAAAGCAAGACCAGGGGAAAACAACATGCAGGGAGTCCTCTTACGGCAAATATAGCCAGGAATAGCCTGCGGGGAGCTACAGACGTGTTTCTGAGATCCACAGATCTGCCTGCTTGAAACGCTCATTTCGCAGACAGAAATTTTCACCAGCCTGGTCATCTGAGATGGAGACATCTCTGAAATAGATTCCTGGTGTTTTTTGTCTTGTTTTGAAGGATCAGAAACTCAAAAATGGTGATCTGACCCTTTGTCCTTTTGACTTTAAAGTGATAATCAGTATTGCACACTTTTCTGTGATACATGCAATGGGCTTCCTAGGGTGTTTCTCTGTATTTGCAGCTTAAATCGATATGCAGGTGGGTGGGAAGTTCCTTAGCAGGAAACAGAACACTTGAAATTGGGTAAAAGGCTAAAGTGGAAGGATTCCCTTTTGGTAGGGAAAACTTCGCCAGCCTGATCTTGTAACAGCTGGGGTTTGGGACCTCTGTGCTTGGGAGCTTGGGTCAGTGTGACAATGTGCCAGTCAGAGGGAACCAGTGGCCTTGAGCTACTACTAGTCTGAGCAGCCCAAGTGAAGCAGGACACCCTAGTGAACTAGCCTGGCTACCTGTAGGCAAGAGTAGAATGGGACCCCAGAAGCGGTATTCAACAGTCCCAAAAATCTGTCAACCCCCACAATAAGTTCTGCAAAGTTATTATTCCCATTGTATAAATGAAGAACCTGAGGCATCACCCCCCTCAGAAGAAGAACCGTCCAGAATCATATAGTAGTAGCACATTGCAAAATTGGAACAAAGAATTTAGATCCGACTCCCAAACATTACAGACAACTAAAGACACAGTTTTCTCGTTTGAAAGAGGTCTCCACTTCTGTTAGTGGATCTGTCCCTGTGGCAGCTCCGGGCCCTCTTTGAGGAAGATGAAGTCAGTCCTTAGGCAAGCAAGCCTTAATTATCACTGGGGGACAGAAGGCTGCATCTTCAAGGAATTTGGCAGACCTCAGCAGGGGGCAACCACGGTCTTTGGCAAACATCACTTTTCCACAATGTTGTCAATTCCAGCAACCCGGACCCTCCACCTGCAGGTCCCTGAACAGCTGTTGTTCTGGAGGCTGGGGGGGGGGGGGGGGAGCAGTGGCTGTCTGCCTTCCTTTAAAAAGCAAATGTGCGCCCCAGATCCCCGCTACCCGCTGGGATCCCACCTGGAATGTCATCCTCCGAGCTAGAGGTCATCTCCCATATTGAGAAAGTCAGAAAACTACAGGGAGAGGGGTGGACAGCTTTGACAACAGGCCCTGAACTCTCCCTTTTAATATAAGCCAGATTTAACATATGTCATTCGGTAAATCCGGGAGTCCAATTTGAGGCTTGTAATTTGCTGCAAGCTTCCCGGCTCCTCAAAGTGAGGCGGGGCTGCTCCGAGCACATCAAGGTAGCTGGTGGAAGATGTAATTTGCCCACTGTGAGCCTGCATGTCGGTTCCCTATTGTAATTTTTATTTGCGTTGAGGTTTTGTGGTTTTAAAAAAAAAAGGAACTAGATTTATTTTTAAATTAAGCCGACCTAACTTCAAAGGCAGTGAGGGGACGATGCGTATTATATAGAACCCCTGTGTAATCTCTTACAGCTGTATTCCCTTTCGGATCACAATTGGTAAATGGCTAGGAGACCTTTCATGACCAATGTGCTGTCTTTCTCTGACCTCATACCCGCCCCCATCCATGGGTGCAAAACCCTTGCGTGGGGATTTTAAAGCCCCTCTGCCCTTCTCAGCTTCTAAGTCTAATCCTGTTTGTAACGCGCCCTTCTGCATAGACGATGAGAAAGGCAGACTTCAGTCCTTGCCAATGCCCCCTTCTCACTGTGACCCATTTCTAGAAAGGAGGACTTCTTCCAGGTCAAAACTCTGGACCAGTTAGTTCCAGAATCATCTGGAGCAAACATTGATACTGAAAGTTGCTTTTTGACATAGTCTCAGAAAGGGAAAGGAAGGAAGGGTTGGAAATTTCCCTTGAAAAGGATGGCAGATAGAACTGAGAATCTGCCATTAGAGGATTGTTTCTTCCCAGACATTTACATGAAAAGAATGTGCTTACTGACCTGTGGAGGAAACTCCTCAGCTCTGTTCTCCAGTCTTAGAGGAACGCCCCTCAGCCCTTAGCCGTTCACAGATGTGCAAGCTGACTGTCCCCGTCCACTCTTAGGCTGTCTTGTCCCCTTAGTGGGAACTCACGTTCTCTACCAAGCATACTTAGTACTTTGGGGATGGTGTCTTCAGAGCCTAATTAGTGAGTGTGATGGTTACCGGTAACAGTCTGATGCTTGCTGTCACGTCAGACTTTCTACAGTACGAATGGGCTCTGCGACCCTCCTGACAGGAGGAAATGTGAAAGACAGGTGGTCTTTCTGTGGCTCAGTGTACGCAAGAGCATCCCCAAGGACAACCACAAGTGACCTATGGGAGGTTACCAGTTCAGTGTGGCACTCGCTGAGGTCTCCTGCATTCACCTGGCTCGTGGAGACTGTTTCCAGACTCCCCTTCAGACTTTCTTGTCTATAGTCTTTCAACTGTAGACTTCTACCCCCAAAACAGAGACAGGGAAACGGATCCCCCGCTCACTACAGATGGTGGCTTTCTCTGTGCGCCTGGCTGTTCAGAATTCTGTGCTTAAAAACTCTCAGACCGAGAGAGCACCCCTTGCTCATCCCTTTGGTCACGTTGTTGAAATATGTGAGTTGTGAAAACCCAGACTTGATTCCACTGTCCTTGCTAGACTTTGCAAATTATTTGCCCGCCTTGGTTTTCTCATCTATAAAATAGTAGTAGATTATTAAGGATAGTAAACCTGTTAACCAAAAGAACTGAGACAATCAAATTAGTTAATAAATATGTATATGTACATATATATATATAATAAGTTGCATAATACTTTACAGTAAATCCACCTTCTGTGAGCTTTAATAGCCTGTGGAGAGCAGGTTTGAACCTATGAGTAATAGTGTCTTGGTGTAAGAATCTTGCTAACCCTAGGCAGTGGTGGCACACTACTTTATCCACAGAGCAGAGCAGGCGGATCTCTGAGTTCAAGACCAGCCTCGTCTACAAAGTGGGTTCCAGGACAGTCAGGGATACACAGGGAAACTTTGTCTGGGAAAACAAAAACAGAACCAACCAAACAAACACAAAAGAATCTTGTTAACAGGTCCGTGCTTCAGATGCCTTAGACGATAGTGTATCTACGGGAATCAAGGAAGCCGTTGACATGACCATTTTGAGTGTTCAGGGCTATGTAACTGATGTCACTGATCTTTGCGACCCATTGTATGTAGGTGTGAATGGGACTATTCTACAGCCAAAGGGCCCATTTCTCCATAGTTAACAAAACCCTTGTGCCCTACCCCTACTGATTTCTCTACGAAGCAAGTATTTTATTGATAAATGTGTAAATTGCAGACATAGTCTTGGCTATAGTTCCAGCAAATATAACTGAATTAACAGTTTTAATATACAACATGAAGAACAAGCACATCTCTTGAAGATGTACGAGTGGTCGATAAGATTATCTTAAGAGATTAATGTGTTGAAATTGTAAGTCAGCATCAACCCACATAGATTGCTGATGACTTTATTAGGCTCATTAGCAATAAACATTTCACGAACTAGCAAGAACATTCCTTTCTGCATTTCTATTTTATCTGTAAACCTGAAGCAACCACCCTTCTCACCATGTATCGCTTACACGTTTTATTCACGGAATAAACTGAGCTTGCATTAATTGCATGATCAGTCAGAGTATTATAGGTTTGAGTTTACATCCCTAAAGAGGATGTGTACTGTTTGGGATGGTGAAGGCTACAGTCTCAGAACTCAAAGAGATCTCATGATGCTTGAGAGACAAATACTTTAGCAGTGACTAAATTATCTTTCAGAAGTGATTATTTCACAATCTTTAGCTTGAAATGCTTCCCCAATGGCTAAGCTTTGGTTAAAAAAAAAAAAGTGTATATGATAAGACTGCTTTCTGCGTGTTTTCAGAACTCCAAGCTATAACTATGCACCGAACATGGACAAACACTGGATCATGCAGTACACAGGCCCCATGCTGCCCATCCACATGGAGTTCACCAATGTCCTCCAGCGCAAACGACTGCAGACCCTGATGTCAGTGGACGACTCCGTAGAGAGGGTAAGGCCACCTCCCCCCTCAGCGACAGGTTTTCATCTAACTTCCTCTCATAGATCTGCTCTAGTCAATCCAGCTTTCTTAATGTTATGTTAAGGGAGAGAAACGTTGTGTTCAGTGACATCCTCACCCCTGTCCCCTTGTCCCATTTCTTTGAGTCTGCTTCTTAAGGCGTCAGTTACAAAGGACTGAAAAATCAAACTATTATAAATCAGGGTCCATAAAACTCTTAAAAGCTTTCAGAAATTAAACAAATCATGTCAGCGAGTAAGGCAGATTTAATATAACGCAGTAGAGACTCGCGATGCTTGCGGTGAAAGCAAAATCAAGGACCCTCCCTAATGCAAACAGCAGCAAATCAGCTCCAGTTAACCTTAGCAGTAGAAAAATGGAGATTAAGTATGATATGTTTTCTGGATTTTGGCTGTCCTGGAATTCACTTTGTAGACCAGGCTCGTGTTGAGCTCACAAAGATCCATCTGCCTCTGTCTCGAGTGCCAAAATTAAAGGTGTGAGCCACCACCTCCCGGCTGTTTTCTGGCTTTGTAAGAAAGACTGAGCCTGCCCAGATTAGGTCTTATTTACACTTATAAATTAAATAAAGGATGAAATAAAGGATTAATAAATGAAATAATGGATGAAAGGATTAAATGAAAGTGATGAAGTTCAACTTTGCTCTAGTCATAGATTTTTCAAAGTGAAATCCAGAGAGTTTGTTGGGATAGGCGGCTTATGACTTTGTTTCGTTGTTTGCTTGTTTAGCAAACAGGAAACAAATTGCGAAAGCAGAATACGCTAGATTAAAAAAAGAAAGAAAGGTTTTTGGCTATACTGTGGGACATTTCCCCACCGGGATCTTAAGTATTTTAAAATGTGGATGGTATCCCTGTTTGCCAGTCTTACTAAGGCAACTCTTGGCTTTTGAAAAATGATGGGAGTCGGGCGTGGTGGTGCACATCATTAATCTCAGCACTTGGGAGGCAGAGGCAGCTGAAGCGTTGTGAGTTCTACACCAGCTGGTCCCTTGGGGGAAGCTGTGGCAAGGCTCTGACGTGTCACCGCCCATGCACCACTTGGGTCTGACTTGTCCTGTGCTCTGTTGCAGCTGTACAACATGCTGGTGGAGACGGGAGAGCTGGACAACACGTACATCATCTACACTGCCGACCATGGGTACCACATCGGACAGTTCGGACTGGTCAAGGGGAAATCCATGCCATATGACTTTGACATCCGTGTGCCTTTCTTTATCCGTGGGCCGAGCATAGAACCAGGGTCCATGTACGTATTGGTCTGCAGCATCTAAGATAATTCAGATCCTAATCTCAGTGTCTGTTTCTTTCCACCCAGAACTAAGGAAGGAAGACATAGGGGTTGGCAATGTGCCTTCCCTGCCACCTAGTAACTCAACTACACTACTTAAACTATCCGTGACTAATTCTCTCAAGTTGAAAAAAGGCCATGTCCTTTTGCCCTGTGGATATGGCCAGTGTGTGCTCTTGGAGAACACCGTTCCTCTTTGAATCAGAGATTCACTGTCGCTTTTTATAAAGCCCAATGTCATCTTCTTAGCTTCTAATCAAATGTTAAAATGCCTGGTTTATTTTAAGAGAAAAGGGACTTAAATGAGTTGTTTCCAACTAGTGAGACAAGCCCTGTATCCCTTTCTCTGCCGATGTCCTCCTCACAGACACAGGTGCCCATGCCCCTTGCCTACCATATTAACTTGCTTTGTAGTAAACTGAGATTGTGTGTGTGTGGAAAATTATGGAAGTGGCAAAAGACAAATTTGGAATTAGAATTCCAAACAGTGTCTACCCATGGACTCGGGCAAAACCAAGAAGGCATACGGGCAGAGAGAACCTTCCCGATAGGTTTTTTTTTCCATCTTTTTTTCTATTTATCTATTCTTTTTTTATACAATGCATCCTGACCAAAGTGTCCCCTCCCTTCAGTCCTCCCAGCATGCCCCTTCCCTTCTACCCCACACTCACTGCTTCTCCATTACCCATTAGGAAAAAGCAGGCCTCCAAGGGCTATCATCCAAAACCACATAACAAGATGCAGTAAGATTAGGCACAAAGCCTCATATCAAGGTTGTATGAGGCAACCAGTAGGAGAAAAAGGGTCATAAGAGCAAGCAAAATAAAATGTCAGAGATACCCCCTACACTCCCACTGCTGTGAGTTCCACGAGAGCACTCAGCTACACAACCATAAGGTATAAGCAGAGGGGCTGGTTCAGACCCATACAGGCTCAATGTTTGTCACTGTGAGCCTTATGAGCCCTGTTTGATTGATTCTGTGGATCATGTTCTCCTAGTGTCCTGACTCCTCTGGTTCCTACAATCCTTCCTCCCCTTCTTCTGCATGGTTCCCCAGTTCTGCCTAGTGCTTGGCTGTGGGGGAAAAAAGTATAACAACACCACCAAAACCAAAAGACAAGCCTGGTGGTGGTGGTGCATTACTTTATCCCAGCACTTGCGAGGCAGAGGCAGGCAAACCTCTGTGAGTTCAAGGCCAGCCTGGTCTACAGAGCTAGTTCCAGGACAGCCAGAGCTACACAGAGAAACCCTGTCTCAGAAAACAAAACAACAACAACAACAAAAAGATCACTACAAGAAAAGAGAGAATGGAATATATGTTACATGAAAGCAAACAAGAGACTATTTGAATGCCAACAAGAGCGAAAAGGGGTAAAGGTAGGGAAATCAGGAATATAATATCAAAATGTCATAATGAGATTCATTCCTTTGTATGCTAACTTAAAATTAATTTTGAAAATTCCATAGGAACCATCTGGGTATAGTCATCTGTAGTTAGCTTTTACGTTTAAGGTCTCAGTCATAAGGCAAACTAAAAACTGTGGTTTCTTACAATATTTACTTTACAGCTTAGTTCAAGAGGCGTTCTGGAATATCACATTTTAGAAGAAACATATCTTCACACACACACACACACACACACACACACACACACATGCCATGGCGTTGGAAAGATGACTCCATAGTTTAGAACTTTCACTGTTCTTGTAGAGAAGCCCACTTCAGTTGCCAGCACCCATATCAGACAACCCATAACTGCCTGTGACTCCAGCTCCACAGAGCCAACACCTCCGGCCTCTGTAGACACCTCACGTGCACACACCCACATGCACACACACACATCCACACATAATTAAAAATAATGAAGGGCTAGAGAGACGGCTTAGAGGTTAAGAGACTGGCTGCTCTTCCAAAGGACCCGGGTTCAATTCCCAGCACCCACATGACAGCTGACAACTGTCTATAAGTCTACTTCCACCTTCGAACAGACCTGCATGTAGGCAAAACACCAATGCACATAAAATAATAAAAAAATAAAAAATTGAGAAAATAATAATAAAAGAATTAAAAGCACCAGGTACCAATACATATCTTGCCTGGCTGTGTATTGAAGACACGGTGGTTAGGGGACATCTCTTCAACCCTGACCCTGTTGATAACCGTTGCTGCCCTACCACTCCACTCATCCCTCCCTTGGGGAACAGATGAGAGGGAGGGGAGGCTCAAAGATCGATGAGCCAAGGCTGTGAAAAAAGCATCTCTGTTGCCGTCTGCTACCTGCTTTAGATCTAGCCTGGAACCATCTTTCTCTTGCAGAGTTCCACAGATTGTTCTGAACATCGATCTCGCCCCTACCATCCTGGATATTGCAGGGCTTGACACTCCTCCTGATGTGGATGGCAAGTCTGTCCTCAAACTTCTAGATCTGGAGAAGCCAGGTAACAGGTGTGTCCGCATGTCTCCTCCCAGCCAGCCCCCACGGACACCAGGTTCCCGGTGGTACCCAAAGCTAGCCAGTGCTGAAAACCATGGAAGTAAAACAAGTTTCCCCCATGAGGATTCCTACAAACTCAGCCCTTCTCGGCTGTTTGTGAACTGCGCGTTGATGCCAATGCCGTCACGGTCTGTGGGCAGTGGGAGGCGTGTCTTTAAATAAACTGTTAGCACAGATCCACTTGGGGAAACATCCAGATGCTAACAGTAAATATTATTATTTTGCTTTCAGGTTTCGAACAAACAAGAAGGCCAAGATTTGGCGTGATACATTCCTAGTGGAAAGAGGGTAATTATTGGTTCCTGGGGTGCTTCTGGGAACCGGTTCTAGTGGGCAGCTCTTCCTGCTGGGCATTTTTTCCCCTTCTTATTTTGGTTTGCTAAGCCTGCAGATTTCACAAACCCAGTTGCAAGTTTGACTTTACTATTTTACTTTATTTACAAGTGAGTGTGTACAGGTGTGTGTGTGTGCGCACACCGACGTTACCATGCGTGGCACATTTAGAAAGACCAAAGGACAAGTTTTAAGAATCGGTTCTCTCTTGTCATAGGTTCTGGAGAGCAAACCCGGCTGTCAGTCATGCTCAGCGAGCACTTGCCTGCTGAGCATGGCCCTAGCCCCATAGTCTGAATAACTGTCTATTCCCCGCCACTTGGCAGACATGATCACTACAGTAGAACCCTGAAGAGCAAATTGCCCTTAGCAACCTCTCCATGGGTGTAGATTCATGGTGGCACTTCTCAGCCTGGATTCTTAACATGTCAACTGACTGTCTGACATAGTCCCCAGTCAGTCTTGCCTGTACCCTACTCCATATGTTGTTTTCCTTATGTTCTTTTCATAAGGAACTATTGACTTATATACATTTCTATTAGCTTCTATGCATTATTGCCACGGTAATTGTTTCCATAGTTACTTCTGGGGTATCTGTTTTGTGATATACATTGCTTTGTTTTTCTCTTTGTGTAAATTTGAGAGAGAGAGGAAAGCATTAATGTAGTTGTTTATTTACAAAGAGAACCTGGAGGGTTTTTGTTTGGTTGGATGGTTTCGTTTGGTCGGTCTTAGTTTTTTGAGACAGGGTTTCTCTGTGTAGCCCTGGCTATCCTGGAATTCTCTCTGTAGACCAGGCTGGCATGGAACTCACAGAGATCTGCCTGCCTCTGCCTCCCGAGTACTGGGATTAAAGGCGTGCGCACCACCCCGGGCCAGCCAGCAAACCCTGAGTATTTATCCAGAGCTGTGTTTGGAAACAATGCTTTCCAAGAGAGTGATGGTTCCTCTGCTGATTCTGCATCTTCATAGGACCCCACTTGTCTGTTGGGCTCCCTCAGATGGCAGTAGCATCCACACCCTCTTGTCTGAAGGAATGAGGAGCTGCTGACAGGGGAAGGAGGGCTTGAGGGAATCTGGAAGGTGATCGGGTGCTTCTCCAGTAAGAAACTTTCCTCTTTCTGTCAAAGGAAATTTTTACGAAAGAAGGAGGAAGCCAGCAAGAACATCCAACAGTCCAACCACTTGCCCAAATATGAGAGGGTCAAAGAACTGTGCCAGCAGGCCAGATACCAGACAGCGTGTGAGCAGCCTGGGCAGGTGAGTGCAGCGGCTGTTTTCTCCGCCCCTTCTGGGCTCCCCACCTCTAAGTTAAACAAGTTTCAGACATCTGTGTATCCCTAAGGTTTCCATAGGGTGGTGAGGGCAAACTCAGTGACAGCTCCGCCCCTCCAGGACTGTCAACTGGTCGTGCTTGGCCTTCTCATCGCTATCCAGGCCCCTTTGTAACAAAGATGGCTCTCGGAGGGATTTCTGTGCCAAAGGGCACCAGCACCGCCAGAGTGGGCTGTCTAGCTGTGTTCTTAAGATCACATACTCAAGATGGAGGTGGCTGCTGGGCAATGACGTGATAGGACCTATCTGACCTAAACAGAAGCAAGAGGTCATCTAACCAGGGTGCATGATGGGATCTATACCAAAGCTGGGAAAGAAAAGCAGTCTGTATGTTCATTTTTAACTCACAAAAACGAAAAAAAAAAATGGTTTTTCGAGACAATGTTTCTCTGTGAAACAGCACTGAATATCCTAGAATTTGTTTCGTAGACCAGGCTGGCCTTAAACCCACTGAGATCCGTCTGTCTCTGCCTCCCAAGTGTTAAGATTAAAGCGTGGGCCACTACCACCCAGTGCTCACAAACTTTTTGCTATCAGCTGTGATTATGATATTTAATCTCAGTCAACATATCTGTTATCAGTGAGAACGGAAAACTCTATACAGTGAATTAACACCACATAAAAGAAAATAGGGCTGGGCACAGTGGCACATACCTTTAATCTCATCACTCTGGAAACAGAAGCAGGTGGATCTCTGTGAGTTCCAAGCCAACCTGGTCTACATGAATTCCAGGCCAGCCGTGGCTACATGGCCTGGAATTATTCATTTCTCAGAAATGAAAGACACAGAGAAAGCAAGAAGAAGAAGAAAAGTAGGGACATGAGGCCACCAACAATTTTAAAAACTCTTTGGTTGTAAACTGTGCCCAATAAAAGGAAATCTATACAGACTAAAGGAAAATTCCATGTTCCAATGGAATGGCAAAAGAAAAAAAAAGAGAGGAAGGAAGGAAGGAAGGAAGGAAGGAAGGAAGGAAGGAAGGAAGGAAGGAAGGAAGGAAGGAAGGAAAAAAGGGTGTTGAAAGAAGAGAAGGACGGATACATGGATACAACTGTTCCTAGACTTCTGGCTCCTGCAGGCTCAGTGTGTGATGTCTGTGTATGCCTCTTGACTGGAACTTGGGCATCTTCTCGTCAATAGGCACGGGAATCTCCATCTTACAAACAGATGGCTAGTTTGATGACAACTCTAGTATCTCAGAGGAATTATCTAATTCAGAAAACACAGAACAATAAGTTGGAGAAATGACTTGGCAATTAAGGGTACAAACTGTTCTTTCAGAAGACCCAAGTTCAGTTCCCAGCACCCGTACTGGGCAGCTCCAAGAGGATCTGATACCTTTGGCCTCCAAAGTAAGATACCTACACTCAGGTGCACATGCGCACACACAGACTCAAATATACGCACATAATTAAAGGTAACAGAAATAAACCTAAACAAATAAACAAAGTGCATTTGCTGCTCTCCAAGATAAATTACCTTAACTAAAGAAAGGGGTTTTTTGCTTGTTTGTTTGTATTTTTTTGTTTTTTGTATTTTGGTATTTTCAAGACAGGGTTTCTCTGTAGTCTTGGTTGTCCTGGAACTAGCTCTGTAGACCAGGCTGGCTTCAAACTCAAGGAGATTCACCTGTCTCTCCTTTTCACATTCTGGGAAATCCTATGGGTAATTTCTTTTTAGTTACAAATTTCTCTGAACTTTAGAGATCCACATAGTTAGCCAACTTTATCTAAAGATATTAGGCACGAGAAATGGGCCACTTAGTTATTATCAAATGGCCTCATTCACTATGGTCTTACTAAAAGGTCCCCAGTAGGCTAAATGCAATGTCATGATTAACAACTTGATCCCAACTCACTTGATCCCAACTCTCACTTTCTTGTTTTCAGGGTTACTTTGAAGGATAAAAGGTTGGGGAGGAAAAGGGGCTCAAGGGATAAAATAATACTTGTGTATTAGTCTAGTCAGCCTTAGTTTTCAAGTGGTTCATAGAAAAGCTTAGACCTATTCATCACATTTTAACTCAACGTCTCAATATCTCACACGGACGCTCTTAGGTATTGTTATGAGGGCAACCTCAGGATTCTTCTGTAGCTCCCAGATGGTTAACTCAATGGGCTAAGGCACTTTGTTCTGGAGTTGGAAATGTTCACTAGTGTATCTTATGAAGATTGCTAATCTCGTTAGGATCTGAGGCCTCCGTGTGGTGAGCAAGATATGAATTTGGAAGTGAGGCACGCTGCTTACCCATTTTAAGCATACTGTTCTGGAAATCTCTCATTATGGCTTGTGCTGAAACTTCCATCTGCATCCTAGAGGGCAAATGGAGTATAAATAAACACAATCATGTTATTTTGGCAAAAGCCTCACACTTTCCTGCTGCCCATTAACAATATTGAAAACCTAATTTTGGGGGGTTTTTTTTCATAGTTTTCCAAACTTAATTTGTTCCCGTGAAATGACTTTCTGGCAGTCCCTCTAGAACGTTCCCCTGTTGCTTTCTTTCCGTGTGTACCGTGTGGAACAGCCTGAACTTAGATTTCCTCACCAGGGTGTTTGAGAATCTGAGAGCTAGCCCCTCTCAGAAGCACCTGAACTAATGAACAAAGAATCAGGCTCTGCCTCAGTGGTGAACTTCTAACTGTGGAGATTCTCTAAGCTGGGCAGAGTCCTTGATCTCCTCCCATTTGCTTTTCTATCCACTACACTGAAGATTATCTTTTTGCAGACAGTATCACTGACTTAAGAGAAAGAGTCCAGAATAATAAAGTGTATTGTTTGGGACCGGCATGACAGCTCAGGAGACAGTTCAGGCTAGAGCTGACTAGTTTGGAGCCATTTATTTATTTCTAATACTGGATAATGAGTCCAGGGGTTCACGTGTGCCAGGCACATGCACTACCAACCCAGCATCCACTCTGGATCCTCGGCTTCATATTTGGCCTGTGTCTTCCTTTTGCCAAGGTTACCAGCCTTCACCCTCTGGTCTGACATTTTGTGGGGTGCTGAAGAAAACTCAGCAATGTCAGCTCTCTGCTTGACATTCCCAGGCTCCAGAGTGAGTGTCTATCCTTACCTGGTCACCTAGGGAGCTATGGTGAGTGCATAGAGCAACATAATTAAAGAAAAAAAGGCTGGCGCTTAAGAGGTTTGGGCTAGATACAGTAGCCACTGCCTCCTAGTCATGTGTCCTGAACAAGCCATTTAAATTCTCCCAGGTCTCAGCCTTTCCGTCTCTAGACTAGAGAAAGTCAACCTTTGAATTGTGAAGAGCAAGTGCTCTCCTATGAATATCGTGGGAGTAGGAACTGGGAGCAATTTCTCCCCGGTGAAGCTGTTGTCACTGTCAGTCCTACCTGTTGCTTGGATTCCTATGGAGCCAACCGGGGATAAAACCGGGCTGGAGTCCCAGACACTTGGCATGACTCCTTGACTGTGTGCACACAACCACCAGCAGGGATTAATTGCGACAACATGGACATATGTGTTTGCATAGCTTCCCCGTTTCTGCATTAATCCAAGACAAAGTGTGAATTCCCACCACCCTCTCAGTTAGGAATTCTGCCCCCAGGACATTTGTATGCACACATACAACTACCACGTTTGCACACTTACATGCTTGTGTAAAATCAAAAGGTGATGCCGAGTTCTTGCTGCACATTGCTCTCACCTGGAAAAGCTTTGGAAGCCATCAATGTACCTTCTGCCCACAGAGCAGACAGACACAATGTATATGGGCGACAACAAGGCATCTGGGCGATTTCTGGGTTGGTTTGTTTGTTGCTCACTGTTTGTTCTTTGAGACAAGGTGCCCATATGTAGTCCAGGCTAACCTTGAACTCTGTTCTTCTACCTCAGCATCCCAAGGATCCCCTTTACAAACATGCTCCATCACAGCCCCCAGCCCTTGTGATTTTGGTTTGGTTTTCCCAGTGTAAAGAACACCAACCTTAGAATCAGACAAGACCAAAGTTGGAGGAAACTTAGAAATTTCCTAGTTGAATGAGATCATTTCGATCCAGTAAACTGAAGCTAATTTACATCTCTTCATTTCTAACCTGGTGTCCCTCTCTGGTAACTGTCCCTACAACAGCCTGAGGCAGTAGACTCTCCCTCTAAAACTCCACGTTGGGCCTTGGCTCTCAGTCCTGACTGCGTTGTAGAAGCAAAAGCCAGTGCACAGGTCCACCCAGGCAAATTAAATCCACGCCTCTGAGGAAAGAGAAGGTTAGCTGTCAGGTCTCTTTCAAGCTTCTGGAAGAGTCTTCTGAGCAGGCAAAGTCAAGGAGCACGGATGTCGAGTGAGCTTTATTGGGCAGTTGCTCTTCCTGTTTGTCCTCGAGGTAGAGACATTGCCTCCTTAAACAGAAGCCAAACAAAGGAGAGAGGCTCTGGTCATTCACTCCTGAGAAACCGTTTTTGTTTTTTTTTTTTTTCTCTGATACTTCACAGCTTGCTCTGGTTTTAGGAGAGCAAATCTCCTGTCCTTTCATTGAGCTGTTGAATCCCAGCATCTTTGCAATTCAGTTTGTCTTTCCCTTGTCTTTTATGTACGAAGTTGGGGATGTGCGAAAAACTCTCCGAGGTCCCCAGCATCCAGACAGCTGCCAGGATTGTGAGGAAACTGGGATTCGTTTGCTGAGTACATAACTGCTCAGCTCTGAATGAAGTCCGTGTTCTCACCCAGTGCTCGCTCTTCTGCCTGTCTGCCCCTCTCACACTGTGGCTACCCATCGGGCATGAATACAGGGACATTTACCGATATGATTTGACTGGGTTTGTTAGTTTGCCAGGAAGCAACACTTTATTTCAGAGCCCCTGGACTCTGGTTAGATTCACAGCAGGGTTGTGATGTTGCCTTGGGTCACCTGATCACGGGCAGTGGAGCTTCTGCTTACTGCTCCGGGTCTTGTCCATACAAGGC